CAAGCCTCAAATCTGTTTAACTGTGCATGGTATGACTGAATATATTGCACTGGCAAATTATGAAAAAAATTAGTACTGTGCATCCAACCATAAAACATTCACTGACAAATGAAGTGCGTGTCAGTCAGAAGAAGTATTTCATGTCCTATTCAAAGTAGGACTCCAAAATAGCTGTAGTGTTCTTAGCTGTACACCAACAGGATATTGGAGAGTTTTTAATGTCACACTACTCTGCTCTCCATAAAGAATACTCAGCTCACCACCATCTTCTGATTATAAAGGGAGATCCAAGTTCAAGTTATATAATTGGAGAACCAATGACCATCTAGGGATTTGTGTTGATTAGTAGTGAGTATTGCAAAAAAGGAGGTGAAGCACAATTACAGAATCATGCCTAAAATGTTAGTTTTCAAAATTTTAATCCCTTAATTAAATATTTCAAACCTAGAGAAAATATAAACTTATGAAAAATACCGATGTGTCTTCTGGTCCCCCACTATCTAAGAGATGTTCTCTCTTGTTTGTTTTTTATTTATGTTGTTTAAAAACTAAAAACACTAAAGAAACAGCCATGCTCCATGAATCCAACCTTCAGTCTACTGCTCTCCTCACGTGAGATCAGGGCCCTGGAGTTGGTGGGTGGTGTTGCATACATGACTTTCGGTTTTAACATCCGTTCACAAGGTAGACTATGTTTTACATTTTTTAAATGTACATAAACGGCATACTGAGTATATCCTTTTGCAGTTCAGTTTTATTTTATTCAACACTGTATTTTTGATATTTATATATGTTGATACATGTAGATAATATTTGTTGATTTCTATTGCTAAAGACTATTTCATAGTATTCAAAATAAGAATTTGCATCCATTCCATGATTCCACTATAGCAAAAAATGCTGCAATGATTTTTACATGAGTGACCTGAATGAGAACAAGGGTATCTTAAAGGAAAAAATTTTGTGAATGAGCACTGAGATCAGAGACGAGGTAGACTAGAAACAAAGACCACCTGAAGATGTGTAATCCCTTGTCCTTGTCTAGCAATTAAACCTCTGGTTTGAATCTAGTTAGGAAAAGAGGGCCAGCAGGCAGAAGCTAAGTGGGTTGGAAATGTTTGAAATTTGGTATATTCACTCTGCCTTTTTCAGGACTTTTGTGAGAAAGTGGAGCAGAGCTGAGGAAATGTGAACTCCATTTGTGAAACACACATTCAGAGGTACAGTGAGGTCTGAGAAGAAGATTGGAACATTTCGTTCACCAAGGACTTTGCAGCTTTGATAACACCAAATCTTAGTCAGAGAAACAGGATTCTCAGCTTGCCTGGAGTGACACATTTCCTAGATTAGACCCAAGTATTCACCCAACCTGATGCCAGAACACTTTGCTATGTACTTTGCTGTACCCCAACCAAAGGTGGAGCATATGTTTCCACCCTACACTCTGGGCTTATCCAAATGACTTATTTGGGTGAATACGATATTAGCTGGTGGATTTCAAGCAGTAGCTTGAAATATACTTGTGCAATTGGCATTGTACTCGAAATTCTGCCATTGCCTTGAGAAGGCCACACCCTGGTCTACATACCTGTCCCAGCAGAATGAGAGGCGAGGGGAGCAGGCTCAGGAAGATGGAGAGACATGTGGATCAGACTCACATGGTGATGACCCACTCCAGTCACCACAGCCTCCCCAGTAGAATAAGCACAACATCTATAAGAATAAATGAATGCTTTGTTTTGTTTTTAAACACTGAATTTTGGGATTGTTATAACATAGCAATATTGTAGCTACAGTTAGCTTATTCTGTTCCTGGATTGAAAACTCAGTAGTGTAAAGATGTTAGTTTTCTCCAAATTAATCTCTAGAGTCAATGCAATTCTAATGAGGGACCTAACAAATTTTTGTTTTTTTAAATTCACAGTAATAATTCTAAAAATTCATAAAGATATGTAAAAGGTAAGAATAGTCAAGGCAATTTGAAAAAGAACAGCATAAGAAGGACTTCTACCACCAGATAACAAAAACTATGAGAAAGCTATAGCGTTTAAAACAGTAAAAGACAAAATGAATATACGTATGTTCCTATATGACTGAAGTATTGTGCTGTATACCAGAAATTGACACAACATTGTAAATTGACTATACTTCAATAAAAATATATTAAAAAATCAAAAGGGCATTAAGTGACAATAAAATAAAATAAAGCAGTAAAAGACAAAATGACCAACAGGTTAGAAAGGTGAGCCCAGAAATAGATCCACATATGTACTGTCACATAATTTATGGCAAAGTATCAGTGAAGTTTGGAGGGAAAATGATAACTTCTCAACAAATAGTGTTGGAACAATTGGATATCCATATGGAAAACAATCATGACTCCTACATAACCCTTCACAAAAAAAAGGAAAAAAAATCAGTTCCAGATGGATTACAGATCTAGGTGGGGAATAAACACAAACAAAAATCTTTTGGAGTAAAACATGGGAGACTCACTTCATAACCATAAATAAAGATTTCTTGAACAAGAGACAAAAAGCACAAGTCATCAAAGAGCAGAACGATAAATTTCTATTAATATTAAGAAGTTCTATTCATCAAAAGGCATTAGCAGAGTGAAAAGCCAACTCACAGAGTATGACAAAACATTTGCAAAACTTCTAAGGAGAAGCTTTGTTGGAAGTGCAAATATTCGTACGAGGCGGTGAGAAAAGAAACCCAAGTTCGACCGCAAAGACTTGAACACATTTTATACAAGAGGATATCTAAATTGTCATGTACATATGAAATGAAAACATGTGAAAATGGCCAGTGAGTATATGAAAATAGACTCAGTCATCAGGAAAAGGCAAACTCAAACCACAGTGAGACACTGGTGCACGCTTGCAAGAATGGCTAAATTAAAAGGACTGACAACACTGAATGTTATCAAAGATGCTGAACAACTCAAATCCCCAGCATCACTTTAAAAATGCAAAATAGTAACCATTTTACAAGATGTTTGGTGGTTTATTATAAAGTTAAATTTAGATCCATACTATGACCCAGCAATTTTTCTGTAGGTGTATCTAGGATATCTTAGATAAATAAAAACATCTGTCCCAAAATAAGACATAAAAGTATCCATAGCAGCTTTATTCTTAATAGCCCAAACTGGAAAGCCCAAATGAACATCAATAAGAAAATGGAGAAGCAAATTTGTGGCACATCTGTATGATGAGATTTTCCTCAGCAATAAAATAGAACAGATTAATAGAACAGATTATACCAGGCATGAATCTCAAAACACATCATGCTGAGTGAGTACGAAACACTACATATGGTATAATTCTGTGTGTCTGATGTTCTGGAACAGTCAAAAGTAATCTATGGTGATAAAAATAAGAATAGTAGTTGCCTCTGCAGGGGGTGCATAAGGGAATTAGCTGGAGTGATAGAAATATATATATCTTTTTAGGGGTAAAGGCGTGGATTATATGAGCGTATGCATTTGTCAAAACTCATCAAACTTAAGATCTGTGCATTTCACTCTGTATAAATTATACCCACAAAAAGGCAAAGAAGCATCTTGCCAGACAAAAATGTATGCACATAGTCGTTCTTATTATAGGCTGGAGTTTTAGTTTTTAACTACTGGTGAAATTCCAGCACACTCTAATTAATGTTCGATGAAATTTATTAAAAATTTACTGTATGCATATCAGGTTCTTGGTTTTACGTTCAGGCAGTTGCAAAGTGAGAAAGCAATTTATTAAAAATTGAAGTTACAGCATATTTACACAAGATTTAATACCCAGGAGAAAACTGATTTAGAGAACAAAATGATGTATGTACTCTACTACACGTGTGTGGCATTGTGATTTACAGTGATTAGGGTAAACATTTACCAAAGGTGTGGCACTTTCTTGAGCTTTGAAAAAGAGCTCTCTTGTGGATGGATAAGGAGAGAAGATTATAGGACTTTCTAAGTTGGTATAACAGCAGATGCAGAAAGATGGTATGGGAATTTTTTGATTCAGAATTTAACCCTTGGAAATAACTAGTGAAAACAGAAATACTTTTAAGCAAATGTATAAAGTGATCTCTTCATACTACATACATATTTAAACTCAATGGAAAATGAATTAATTCTTTAAACTTAATTGAGTAATTATTTTTTTCTCTGGACTTGTTTTAGATGTCAATCGGTAAAATTGATTAAGCTATTAAGTCATAATATTTAAATTTCCAGTACATGGAATTACACAGACTAAATTTGTGGTATTAGTTGAGCTCTAATTCTTTTAGATAAATAAATATATTGTTGGTATGTTTACATGATATCACACATCCAAATGAAAGGTTAAAAATTAATTTGGGTAGGGGTGGGTATAGCTCAGTTGGAGAGTGTGTGATTAGCATGCACAAGGTCCTGGGTTCAATCCCTAGTATTTTCATTTTAAAAAAAATTTAAAAATTAATTTAGAAATAGCCAGTGTCTGAACAGTAAGTTAGAGAGACAGGATTCAGAATGGAAAGCTATGGGGAAAGACTGTGGAAAGATGGTGAATAGTAGGGCAACAAGAAAGCAGGCAGAGCTCTGAGGATTAAGATCACTTCAGGAAATAAATAGACGCTGGTTTTAAAGAAGGAATGTCTCATATTCAGTTTTAAGTTACTGCCTGTACTTTGCTGTGCTTTAATCCTTTTAAGTAATTTCTATGACTCTACAAATCTGACATACTAAAAGAAAACTGCATTAGTAGAGGAAATAGCTGTGCCAGCTGAAGCCAGAAATTAGAGCAAGAGATGACCAGGAAAAATATAATCTCAGTCCACCTGCACCAAGCCGCTTTAGAAATATTAGGAAGGGGTAGGGATCCCCCTGTGCTTGGCAGAGGCACTTGGGCATGTCTCATTGTACCCCCAAAACAGTGTTACCTCTGAGAGCTGGAATCCTTGTGAATTTTCAGGAGGTAGAAATGGGTTACACAGATGAAAAAGCCGGAAAACTGACTTACCTTTTTAACTCAAGTGGTTTATGAATTAGGCCACATACAGTTTCAGTATCCTCAATTACTTCCCAAATGTCCTCTTCATATGATAAACGATTTTGAAAAGTTTCACGTGATATTCTGAATTCCTATGAATAGAATGCATATTTTGAGTTGATAGGCTTAAAGCTCCAAGGTTTCATTGCAGGTCACAAATGTACTACTAACATATGTAACTTAATTTTATTATTGAATAAGCTTTTTTTCTAAAGGGTACAAACCAGCAGGTTTACTGAAGCTGAGATGCCAGTCTCTAACATTCATAAAGCATGACGGAAATAAACAAAGCACTCTACTCGGAAAAGTTCCTTCAAAGTATAAGTTTCCATTCCTGTTTTTTTCTTATATAGCACACAGGGATTGTTATTGCTGGAATGATTTTGCTATCTTTTACTAAATTCTACACCTTTCTTCACAATATGTAGGTACTTTGACTAAAATCACAGCCAAAGGAAAATTTTTATCCAACATCTTATCACATTTAAATATGACTAAGACCTAGAATTTCAAAACCTAGATGATTTGTGATAATTTTTAAAGAATTGTGCTCCAATAATAATTTGAAATACCTCAGTGACTCTGAAATGCACTGTACATATGGGGGTATGAATTCATAAGACATATACTTACATATACAAAGACTATAACATTCTTTATTTTTCAATAACTAAATTTAATCTTGAGCCCCTTTCCACCCAGTCCCAAAAAGCAGTTTTTGTCATTTATGAGTTAACACTGTCATTTCAATTCTCAACCCAGTCAAATAAATGTTTTCCCACTTTCTCCTCCCTCTCCACCCATGGGTATGATCTAAGTTTCCAGTGGGGTGGACATTCCTACATATAGTCATGGCACCAAAGGGACATGTTTGTTCTTTGGTTAGTGTCTTTTCTTACTGGTATCTGAGAGATGCATGTTGCCTGCCTGACTGACTCTTGGTCCTCATCCCCTCTCCAAAGTGGTGTCTACTGAGGCAACTGAATCTCACCAGAATGTCCCGTGCTACTTTCTGCCACAGCATCACCTTATCACAACTATGAGACCCTCTTCTGTCCACTGAATCTTCATCCCCTCGGAAAGTCTGATGCTCTTCCTCCATGCATTGAGAACATAGGAAATATGGGGATTATTTTCAGGGACTCTGCCTAAACTCACCAGAAGCTGTTTCTATATTCATGAAGGCAACTAGAATTACTGAAGACCACCATTTCCCAGGGATCCACAGGTCTACTCTCAACACCCAACTTGATGTCCTCTTCCCTGGGGCTAAGGACAGCTGGTTGGGCAGTGGGGCTCTCTAGCTCTTTCTAAGAACCATTTACAAGCATCTAATACTCCTAATTCTTCTTCAGTTCTACCCTGAAGTTTCTCTTTGTCTTTCTTTCTCTCTCAGAGGAAAAATCTTATTTGTTCCAAATTTTCTGCCTGAAAATCTCGACCATGATTTTGATATTAAATGAAAAGAATTGGCTAACTGGTATACTAGATCCTTCTGTCACAGCTCCTTCTTGGGGCAACAGTAGCCCCATATCCATCTATTTAAATATGAGTGCAGAGTTAAACCAAAGAGGAAGAGGTGAGAGAAGGGGAAATAAGAGCATATTTTACATCTGCTAATACTTAATGAGAGCTTTTGAGCAAAATATGTAAAGGGATCTCACCAAAGGGAAATGTCTGTTATAAAGGATTTTATTTTGCAGTGGAGTATCCTCTGGTCCATGTTAAATCATCATAAAGTCTTCAAAATGAAATATAAGAAATGCTCTGAAACAAAATATTGACTGTTCTCCTCTAGCAAACAGACTCATCAGAGTTGTCTTTCTTTCTCCCGTTGAATGAGCATTTTTCTTTTTCTCATTAGCACTCTGAAGACAGACAAAGCTTAGGAGTAAAACTTAACTCCGCCTGCTGTAAAACTGAGTTAACCCCATAGCTGAATCCACACAACCCCAGCGAAGGAAACTCCGGATAGAACTTGCACATCTGTCGACTGACTTGCCAATCCACTTTGGATTCACCAAGTTGACTGCTCCTCTAGTTTATAATTATTCTTCAGCAAACAAATTACATTTTCCTTCTGCACAGATGTTATCTCCATTTGTCGTGTTCAAGTAAAATATTATTACTAGATGTATATGGGTCTTGGAACAAAGAGGAATTCAGCATTAAACTGCAGCAAACCATTGGCAATCAGAACATGAAAAGGTCAATCCTTGACTATCTTATGAAAATCTAACTTTTCTATTGATGGTAAATACTCTTTTGCCCACTATATCGTGTGCTATGAAGACCAGTGGCTGCAGCTGTCTATCAATCTCCCCATTCCATCTCATCCACACAAGGCTCTCTCTCTAGAAATTCTCTCCCCTCTCAACTGAAAAATTTTATTTTCTGTCTTTCCAGAATTATTCCTATCAGAAAACAAACATGGTATAATTTTTCCTAAAAATGAAACTCTCATAATCCTACATCTTTTTCCAAATATCAGCCTGTTTCTCTGCTCCCCTTTATTAGAAAAACTTCTTGAAAACATCTGCATGTTCCTCTCCTCCCATTTCTCTCTCACCCATTCCAGTTGGGCATTAGTCTCCATCATCCAATTAGACTGCTTTTGTCAAAACCAACTATGAGCCTGCTTGGAAAAATCCAATGGTCAATTCTAAGTTCTCACCTTGCTTGATCTGTCAGTACCATTTTTTCCAAATAGGTCACTCTCTCCTCCTTGTTACACTTAATTTACTTGGCTTTCCAAGACCCAGACTTCCTTGGTGTTCCTGCTCCTTCACTAGCTTCCCCTTTTCTATCTGTTTGCATGTTCCTATTCACCATCTCATTGTCTAAATATGAGGTGCCCCAAGGCTCAGTTTTGGAAGTCTTCTCTTTCTACACTCCTTCCTCAGATCAGTGTTTATTATGGACTGAATTATGTCCCCACCAAAATTCATATTTTGAAGTCTTACCCCACCAATGTGATGGTATTTGGAGATGGGGGCTTTTGGGAGGTGATTAGGGTTAAATGAGGTCATAAAGGTGGGTCCTAATTTAATGAGATCGGTGTCTTATAAGAGCAGGAAGAAGGTACCAGAGAGCTGTCTCACTCTGCATTTGCTGAGACAAAGGCCCTGTGAGGACACAGAGAAAAGGTGGCCAGCTACAAGCCAAGAAGAGAGGCTTCACCAGAAACTAGTCATCCTGGCAGTCCAACTGATATTGGACTTCTAGCCGTTAGAACTTGGAGAAAGTGAGTTTATGTTGTCAATGCTATCTCTTCTGTGGTATTTTGCAGTGACAGCCTGAACAGACAATGCTTCTCAAACTTTAGCTGTGTCAGTTGGTATCATTTGGTAGACATGCAAAAGCACAGAATGCTGAGATCTATCCCTTGCAGTTTCTGATTCTATAGAATTTGCCTTTCTAACAAGTTCTCAAGTGATGCCAATGCTGCAGGTTCTGGGACCACACTTTGAGTTCCACTGCGGTAGATTATTTCGCTGAGGTTATGACTTTAAATACCAACGATATGCTCAGGTCTCTCAATTGTTCATCTGAAGACCAGAGCGCCCCCCTGAAGTCCAGACTCATATATCCAACTGCACTACTTGACTACTTGATGAAAATGTCTAGTATCTATCTTAGGCTTAATGTATCCTAAAATGAGCTCCAATATTCTCCCCAAACCTGCTCCTCTAGCATTCTTCACCATCTTATTAAATGATAATTCCATTGTTCTAATTCCCCAAACAAAAACTTTGGAGACATCCTTAAGTTCTTTCTTTATCTTACACCACATGTTTAATCTGTTTTCAAATTTCATCAGTTGCTTCTTCAGCCTACGACTACAACGTGATGGTTTCTCATAACTCCCATCATCCATGTTCACAGCACTGTCATGTCTCACCTTGATTATTACAATGGTTTTTAAACTTTATTTTTTTTTGCTTTAATCCTTTTTTGTTCCTTGCACCACTCCATTATAGTATCCACAAAATTCAGAGAGATAAGTAAAATTATGCCAGTCCTCTGCCTCGATCCTTCAATTATCTGTCTTCTCACGCAGAGCCAGTCCTCACAATGGCTCTGGAGCTCACACAGTCTCATGCCATGATACTTTCTCCTGCAACCTGAACCGCTGTAACTCCCTCAGTTCCAGCCACACTGGGAATCCTTATTGTTTTTTGAATATGCTAGTTTTATGCTATCCCTTGCACTTGCTTTTTCTCATGCCAAGTACTTATCACCCTCTGAAACATCATGTATTCTACTAGTTTACTTTTGTCTCCTTGCACTAGAACAAAAGCTTTGGGAGAGAATGTTATATAGCAGCTCAGGCTGCTATAACAAAAATACCCTCAACTGGGTGGCTTAAACAATAAACATTTATTTCTCACAGTTCTAGAGGCTGGGAAGTCTCAGATCAAGGCTCCAGCTGCCTGGCATCTAGTGAGAGCGCACTTCCTGGTTTATAGGTGGTCATCGTTTTGCTGAGTCCTCACGTGGCAGAAGGGGCAAGGGACCTCTCTGAGGTCTCTTTTATAAGGGCACTAATCCCATTCCTGAGGGCAGAAAGGGATGACCTAATCACTTCCCAAAGACTCCACCACCTAACATCATCACTTTGGGGTTAAGGGACCTCTCTGAGGTCTCTTTTATAAGGGCACTAATCCCATTCCTGAGGGCAGAAAGGGATGACCTAATCACTTCCCAAAGACTCCACCACCTAACATCATCACTTTGGGGTTAAGATTCAACTATGAATTTGGGGTGGAGGGAACACAAACATTCATCCCATCACAGAGAAGAAATCTTTTTAATCCATTTTGTTCATCACTATATCACCAGAGTTTAGAATGACAACTGGACATGGTAGGTACTCAATAAATCTCTGTTGAATTTAAAAAAAATATATATATATATACACATATAATATACAACCAATTGCAAAGAAGAATTCAGAGGTGAAATTGGAATTTTCCTTCCCTCTTTGAAAGGCAGTGAAGCAGGACAGTGAAGGACATGGACCCTAAATTCAGAGCATCTTGGTTTGCATCCTGATTCTGTCACTCATTTAACCTTGGGTCAACTCCTTGAT